AGATCATTTTCAAGTTTCTCAGAAAAGTGAATCAAACCTCACCAGTCCCCCAGATGGTTTTAATTACGTTTGGAAGTGTTGCCTCATGTTGGATTAGTCATAGAATTGACAAGAAGGACTTCTGTATTTTTCTCACTGATATTAATGGGGGGGGGATTATTTTGCACTTAGAATTTTATTTTGAAGCCGTGAAAATAACATTAGTGAAGTTGGAGAAGGAAAAACAAATCTTCTGTAATTCTGCTAACCTAGAGGCACTATTACCTACTTTGTACATTCCCTCTCAGTCTTCATTATGTAGTATGACTTTAGATAGTTAATATGTGGCTCTTTAAATGCATAGCAGGCAGTTTCCCCCACTTCCTCAAATTTATATTCTGTGCTTACAAATTTTAATGACTAAATATAGTCCATTCTCGTTTTGGGGGAAGTTATTTTCTATAAAGTCGCTGTGAACACTGAAGTCAATGAGTACTAAATCATTGCTCATAGGGGAAATGTAGGGTTAGGTTCCTATGAGCCTCTGGCCCCAATATTTTCATTAACCAATTAATACCTTGTTTTATGTGTGTTTCTGTATAAAGACACCTTATTTAGTATATTTTAAAAATTCATTAGCATTGAACTCATGCCAACAGCAGTGTAACTCATGCCTGAACGAAACTTACCTAACATATTTTTTCCATAGGGTACATCATGGCGTTCGTGTGCTTAGAAACACTAGCCAGCACTCCAGCACTGCCTTTGGGGGCCATTTTCAACAGCAAAATCACCAACAAAGAGCACAGAAATGTGAAAAATGTGGCAGTAAATAGTCCATGAAAAGGACACTTGCTTATAGTATGAGAGCTGGAACAAAAAGGCAGAGCTTCAGGGCGCCTGGGTGGCTCAGACGGTTAAGTGTCTGCCTTGGGCTCAGGTCATGATCCTGGGGTCCTGGGATTGAGCCCCGCATTGGGCTCCTGGCTTAGTGGGGAGCCTGCTTCTCCCTCTCCTTCTGCTTCTCCCCCTGCTCATGCTCTCTCTCTCTCTCTCTCTATCTCTGTGTCTCAAATGAATAAATAAAGTCTTTAAAAAAAAAAAAAGGCAGGGCTTCAGGCTCAGCTGAGAATGTGTACTTCAGTAAACCCAGAATGTTGCCACTCTGTGCATATTTGCGAATGACTGCGAAAGCGCCACAAGTATTGATTTGGGGGTTACAAATAAATGTTGGCAGGTAGGCAGATCTGCAAATAGAGAATCTGCCTATAATGAGGATTGGCTGTGTATGCTATTGTACTGACTGGCTTTGCCATGATTAACTGAACCATAAATGACTCACTTTGGAAAGGTACCAACAGGCTTCTCTGGTGTTTGTGGAGCCTTCATAATCCTTCCTCACTCCCCACCCCAAACAAACAAACTGAAAAAAGCACTACTAGGGAGTAGCTCAGAAGTATGCAGTAGGAAATAGCCCTCTGAGTCTCAGTGGGGGATAAGGGAAATCATTCCACCTTCCATTTATCAGGGCTTTCACATTTGAGAAGTTATTTGGTGTGGTCTATATAATTTGATCTTTACAGTGCCCCACTGAGGAAGATGGCATTGTTACCTTCATTTTCCCAGAAAAAAAATGAATATGAATTGATGGTAAGCATACCTGACCTTACCTGTCTTTCTGAAATGACTGTCTGGTGTTTTGCCCTCAGCAGAGACCCAGAGAATGAGTCTTGTTCCTTTTGTGAAAGCTGCCTGCTTGTGAGAATAGCTATCCCCATTGGAAAACACAGTGGCAGTCATATGGCCCACAAATGCATGACACCATCTACCCACATTTTTACCATGGAGGATCAAGGGGCGTGTTGGAAAGAATGTAGTTTTCACAGTCAGAGGAACTGATTTTGATTTCCCGACTCTGCCCCTTCCTCAGCTGTGCAACTTGGCCAAGTTAGAGAACCCCTCTGAGCTGGCATGTTTTCACTGGTGAAATGGGAATAATGATACCACGTAACCCACACGTTTGTTGTGAAGCTTTAACAAAATAATATATGTAGCCACTCTCCTCATTATGCCTCTGATGATGAGAACTATGTTGACAAGGAGACAGATCCTTAGAGAAAATCAATAAGTAATCTTGACAGTGACCTTTGCTTCTTGGCAACTCTACCTGGAGATCACCACCCTCACCAGCACCATTATCAAATAAACAGTGTACATTGGCTTCTGCATCAGTGAGTGTCTAAGCTCACGTCACTATTTAATCTTCTGTAACACATTACTTTCCCCTAGTATAAGAAATATAAATGTTTCAAAATAAACATTCATGAAGTCTTCCTTAGATTTTTTTCCTAATCTCGACTGGGATATTGATAAGCTTTATGTATGTGTCAGCTGTTGAATGAAGTGGTAGAAGAGGCTTGCCGATATCACAGACCCAGCTAAAGCAAGTGGTGTGGGAAGAGGTTAGTGCAACACAGGCACCCATTTTGTTGATGGGAAAAGTGAAATATAAAGAGGTGACTTGCACAATAAGATCCCCAAACTAGATAAGGTATTCCCAAGCAGCCAACCTTTGAGCCTGCTTCAGGGAAGTCTAAAAGGATTCCCTTTATTCTGATAATTTTGCAATTACATCAGAATGTATAGGTCCTTCATAAAATGTTTTGAGATCTAGTTTACACCTGTACAGTGTAGGTGTATGTTTCTGGCATTACTTTTTTAACTTCTGTGTGACATTAGCACAAGATGGAACCCAACTGCTAGAGTACTCTCATAAGGTCACCATGAAGCTTATAGTGTTTGGGGTGATGGGGTCAGCAATCTGGATGTTAAACTTCCGGTCTAAGTGGCTATTTTTTTCTGAACTTTGATAGTAGGTATCTCCCTGAGGGACATTTGTTTTTGCTGGCTTGGCCTTTGAGATTACCCTGAGACCGGTGATCTTTGGACACTGATGTGAGCTATTGACTCATTTCTCAATTAGTTAGAGGGGTACCTTCGTGTATAACTTGTTTGGGATATTTTTCCCATTCTTGTGTGAATGTCCCTTTATATTTCTGATGACTCATACATAGCCATGCTTAAGCCTGGGACAGAGTTAACAAAGCTGACATGGGCAATTTCCAGGGATCGTACTGGTTTTCATTGTCATCGCCAGAACTCACGTGAATGGCCAGTTCCTCATCATGTTGTGCAGGTCACACAACAAAGACAACAAAATGCATTTGATATACCTTCTAGGAGCTGACAGTCTGAAGATAGACGCATGGTTGGTAAATGGTCAGCTTGTTTTCAGGAAGTTATTTTTCAGTAATACGCTAATATTCATGTTTGTGGATTCCATAGGAGAATTCAAACTAAGGAATTCTTGTGTTGAGCCCAGCACACATTTGAATAGTCAAGAGAACCCTCTTAGAGGTAATATTTACCTCTACTGATTCATGTTGCCCCAAGGTGAGTCAGTATTCTATTTCCTTCTGTTACTGGCAATGGGCACCTACAAGTAGTCTAATAGTGAGAAGTCTACTAGGGAACTTAGACACTGAAATCCTATTATATTTGTTTCTCCCCCCAACTCACAGTGCATATTTATAGGAGATAGAGAAGCTGCAGGTAAGTTTTGGTCGCCACTGTGCTGCTTTTCTGGCTACTAGCAAGGTGTAGTTTAGGCATTAGCCGAGAAAAATAGTTTGACCGTGAATCGAGTTTTGGCATAATATAGTACCAGCCTCAGTCATGGACTATTGAGCATGTTTTAGGCAGTCCTAGTAGGCCTTGAGCTGCATGACAGCATTTCTGTATCTCCAGAATTCAGCACAGTTGCCTGACACAGTGAATTCTGAATATATCTTAGCTGAGTTAAAGCTGAAGAGGTCGGGGACGCCTGGGTGGCTCAGTCAGTTAAGTGACTGCCTTTGGCTCAGGTTGTGCACCCAGGGTCCTGGGATGGAGTCCCGTGTCGGGCTCCCTGCTCAGTGGCAAGTCTGCTTCTCCCTCTGCCTGCCGCTCCCCCTGCTTGTGCTCTCTCTCTCTGACAAATAAATAAATAAATAGTCAATCTTAAAAAAAAAAAAAGCTGACGAGGTCAGAGAAAAGGGTAAGACATAGGAGCAAAGAGACCTAAAGACAGCGAGTGACACAAAAGTGTTATCTTGTGAGGTCCCCAGTGTGAAGCCTGGGAGAGGAATTGTTGGAGTCAGATGGGTGGTACCTGGTTACCCATGGAGCCAGAAACCAGAACAGGAGGGCCTGGGAGGGAGGCTGCAGAGTGGAAAGGCCCCAGAGCTAGTCAAGGTGCCAATCCAAATGCAAGTCAGGCCAGAGGGAAGCTGGCACAGCTGTAAACCTCCTGCAAAGACAGGGCCGGGGAGGGAAGCGGATGTGGAGATGAATATTCCAAAGTGACACCAGCCAACCCAGGCTGTGACTAGCCTTTAGTTAACGTAGAGCAAGAAATAGGTCCTAAGTAAATGTGTCTATTTTTTTATTTCAAAAACTTTTTCTCCTTCCTCCTCTTGGTTTTCTTGTAAAAGTTTCTATAAAAGAAAAAAGTCAATTTCATCTTGGCCAGGAAAAAGAGACTTATCCAAACCTAGATCTGTGGTCTGGGAGGCCAGGTATGAAGTCATAGCTGCCATCTTGGCCTGACTTCCCAGAAGGAGTGAACAGAGGGAGGTGAGCAAAGCGTCAGGTTCAAGAAACAGGGGTGGAGTGCCTTGGACAAGTCAGGGGCAGGGCCACCGTCTTCAGTTTGAGGCCACCTGCAAGGCTCACAGAGACACCAGCCCCCGCATTTTTCCTCAGGATTGACTTTTCCTCCACAAAAACATCTTCAGAGATGTGGACATGAAGAGTGTGGGCGAGGGAGTGGACAAACACATAGCCAATGAGTGGGTGTAGTAGTTTTCTATTGCTACATAACAAATTACCACAAACTCACTGGCTTAGAACAACACCATGTATTTTTCATGGTTTCCCTTGGTCAGGAGTCTGGGCATGATTTCGCTGGGTCCCCTGTTGGCCGAATTCAGTTTCTTGCATCTGTAGGACTCTTGGTGGCCTGCTTCTTCCAGGCCAGCAGGGAAAATCTCTTTTGGACTTCTAGAACTTCCTTGAAAAGGCTTGCCTGAATTGGGACCTTAATTCTATCTGCAAAATTGCCTTCTTTGGAGTGCCATCGTATTCTCATGTCATACAAGCTACACTCAGGGGAAGGGGATCTTATAGGGTGTGTACACCAGGGAGCAGGAATCTTGGGGTCGTCCAAGAATTCAGCCTCCCACGGTGGCTGAGAGAGAGCGAGTGGCCAGTGCTGGTCTGTTCTCCCCATATAGCAGACCAAATTTTGGAAGGGGACGTGGGGCTGGAGAGCAAGGACTGAACATATTATTTTAGAGATTTATGGCGGGTAGCCCTAATTCACGAGAGAACAGAAACCACTGCTAAACACAATCTAAGGATAAAAGCTCCCATAGTTGGGAGATGTTCTGGGCCCACCCTAGTGAAGGGATGGTGAATAAAAGGGAACTCATGTTCAGTGTTTGAGATTCTGTGGCATACAGAGCTCCCCATTGAAACTGTTTCTGAAAACAAACCCTTCATGTTCACTTCTAGGTAGCCATGCTCATTGGAGAAAGGCCCAGTTGTGGGACCTGATTGTCCTCGACATGGAGGAGAAAACTGAAGAGATTTCTGTGTGTTTAACATTTAAAGTGCTTGTGTGTGTGTGTCGGGGGGAACCCAACTCTTCGAGTTGGGGTATTGCTGCCCTTATTACTGTCTTCGCAGAATGGTCTTGTAAGCCTGGGTCTACAAATGGGTTATTAATATTATTTTTTTATCAGGAACGAAATATGGAAAATCTGCCTTCTGGGCAGACCATGCTGTCTCTAGTCTGCTCTCCTCACTGTTCTTTGTTCCCTGAGGACTATTTAATCCAGGTCTCACTTAATTTGATTAAATGGAGTCTGTTTTTAAAAACAAATGCTTTCCCCCCATTATAAACTCATAGATTTTCAGCATAGAAAATATAAATAGGAATAAACAACCCACATCTGTTATGCTATATTACTAGTTACACATCTGTTACTAAGCAGAAACTTGTCAACGTTTTGTCAGATACCTCCCCACACGTCATAGCATTTGTAGATAATTCTCTACAGTTGAAAAATAAAGGGCATTCAGTTCTTGTAATATGTGTACTCTTTGATGTATATATTTTTTAACATTTTAGTGTATTCACAAACAGCTTTCTACAATAGCATTTTACATACCCACTTACTTAGACTCCCTACTCACCTTCCTTTATGGAAACAATCTCATAGGAGCTCTTTTACATTTCAGATAGATGATAAATACCAAGTCAGCGTTATCCGCCTTTGATCAGGACATGTTTCCTGGTGGTTGTGATCCCGTTGGTTTCACCCAGTGCTGTGTGTGTGAGGGGCTCCAGTGTCGTTGATGGAGCGCTTGGTATTTGCAAAGGCAAAGCTTGGGCTCTATGTTTACTCTTTCCCTAGTCCATCCCCAAGTTTTGCCCTGGTAAAGTTTTTAAATACCTCTTTTGTGAGCAAGAAGCCCTAATAAACAAACCACTTTGTTGAGACAGGAATATTAGCCCTGGCACGATTTACTAATTTTACTGCACAGTTGCAGACATCACCAGTCAGCGAGGTGCCCCAGCGGCCCCTCCGTTCCACACACAGACTCTGTGTGCAGCTTTGTGAGCTGCTGTTTTTCTTCCCCTTGCCCTTCCCAAGGGGCTGCTGGTGGCCCAAATCTGTTTAAACAAAGGTGAGCCAAGGATCAGACTTTAAAAGTTAGTTAGAGATTTCACCTATTAGAAAACCGAGCTTTGCGAATGTTGAGAGTATGAGGATTCGTGGGGAGAGCAGCCCTCGGATGTTGGCGGGTGGTTGAGCAGTGGAGGGAAAATAATTCAATGACCCAGACATCCATCAAGAGACCTTTTTGACCTAGTGCCACATTTCCTGTGAATAATGAAAACAGACCCACGGAAGAACCCAGATGAACATAAACATCCTCCATGATCCGCCTGAGTCTATATATCACAAGTTCTCTTCTTTGACTTTTTGAAATCCATGGTGGGTTTGGGGTTGTCATGATGGGGAGTGAGAAGCTCCTAGCATTTAGTGTTCGGGGGCCCTGGGTTATGTAGGACAATTCCAATCAATGGAGAATCTTTTTACCTAAAATAACAACATGGTCTGGTTGAGAACTTCTCACCACTTCACAGTGTTTGGTTTCTTCTAAGGAATGGAGCAGAAAACATGAAACTAGAGCCATGAATTCTTCTGGGGCTTCCTAGAAATTGTCTAGTCCTTTCTCTGTCCCCCTTTTCTCGGAGTGGTTCTGCATAGCCAAGGCTGGAAGGATATTGGTCCATGGGAGGGAGTGTGGGCCAGGGAAAAGCAGTACAGCACTTTTTAGGTTAGATAGTTCTCTCCATCTATAGTTGGCCTGCAAAAGTTGAGTCATTTTTTCTGATAAAATACTGTCTGGTTGTTTGTCTCCTAGGCCAGCTATTCAAAGGCAGGAATTAGCCAAGTACCGTCCAGCTGTTAGCTCAGTCATCCTCAGGGGTACGAATTCTTTGCCAAAAGAGCCTCAGAAAAGGCCAGAGAGAAGGAGTTGCAGGCAACATTGACTCAGGCTTAAGATTTGTTTTCAGGATGTTTTATTACCCTCGGTGAGGGGAAACAGAGGCCGCCTACATCATAACTGATCTCAGAATGTCGGAGCTGCAGGAGGCCTGGGAGACCAGCTGGTTTTACTCTTTTATTTTGTATTCTAAGAAGAGAGACCCGGAGAGGTTAAATGACTTGCCTGAAGTTACAGAGCCAGGTTGTGACAGAGCTAGGTCTAAACCCAGACCTTTTGATTCCCAATAGAGCATTCCTTCTACTACCCCAGCAGCTGACCTTTGGACTTCTTATTTTATTTATTAATGAAACTTTGCTGGCTTTCTTTCCAAAACATTCCCTGCCCCCACAAAAACACTGCATCGTTATTACTTTCAAACCTTTTGTAATTTCTGAGACCGTTGGCTTCAGGCATAAGGGAAAAGCACCTTTTATGACTGGAGAGCACATGCTCCCTGTTTGTGACTCAGGAAGCAAGTATCCACTCCTGTTAAATACTGAAAAAAACTGTAGAAGTGTTGCCCTACATTGTCTTTTGGGAGAAAAATACACAGTTAAGCTGTTTAAGTTTTCACATGTGGTGTTCGCACGTTGTTTCCCAGAGGGACTGCAAAATATCTTCAGTTTGCTTATTCTCATAACAACCCTGAGATCGCTACATTCCATTCATGGTCTTTCTTAGAAAGAGAATGCAGGCTTTCTTTTTTCACCTTCATTAGACATTCTCCAAGCCTTCTGAGGTCAAATGAAGAGGAAAGGTGGGGTGGTAGCTATGTGATGGAATATCAGCCCGTTGGCCAAAGCCCATAGACAGATGCCTTTTGGGGCACCTGGAGTCCATTTCCAGAGCAAGACTTGAGAACCTAGAAATATCCATCTTGGGGAAGCTTTGGCTTTTGCTATTGGCAGTCACGGCCAGGTGTCTTTGAACATGTCCAGGGCATTTTTTCACAACCACCTTGCCCTATTTTTCTTGTCTTCTGCTGGCTCTGTCATGGCTTCTCAGTAGCCCCCTGGGTGATGATCTCTTTCTTCTCATCAGCTTACTTTGGGTTTTCTGGGCCTTTCTTGTCAGTGCCCCACCAAGTGAACACTTGATAATCCAGTTTGGCTGTGACCAGTTCTCTCATAAGTTTGAGTGAGGAGTTTCCATGAAAATTTGCTGGATAAAATGAAAAAGCACTGAAGAAACATGGATGTAATCATGTTTCTCCATAATCATGATCTATGGAGAATTACGGAAGGAACATGGATGTAATCATGATTCTCCATCATCGTGATCTATGGAGGAATATCAGGGTTTAAGACTGGAGATGTGGGCCTGGTTTTCAAAAGGGTAAGAAGAAGATCTATCAATTAAGAATTGATGCACTGAACACTGAGCCCCTTAGTAAGTGAATGAACAAACTAGAATCTAGTATGAGATCACCAGGAATAAATGAGTCTTTTATAGTGTTAATAGCCTGACAGATCAGAGAAATGCTTAATAATTTGTCCCAATTTCAGCTAAGTCTGTAGTAATGATAACAATGAAACAGCATTTATTGAGTTCTTATTAGTGAAAGAAACTGTTCCAAGTGAATAAACAATCAAGTTTTGCTTCTAAGGATGTGACTTGGCATCTCTTAACTTTAGCTTCTTTATTTAAAATAATGGAGCTTGGGGCACCTGGGTTGGCTTAGTCAGCTAAGCCTCTGACTCTTGATTTCAGCTCAGGTCATGATCTCAGTGTCGTGGGATCGAACCCTGCATCGGGCTCTGCGCTCAGCTCGGGAGTCCGCTTCTCCCTCTCCCTCTGCTCCTCCCCTGCTTATGCTCTCTCTTTCTCTCTCTCTCTCAAATAAATAAATAGATCTTTAAAAAAAAATAATGGAGCTTACCTTTCCAATCTCTCTCCAGTCTCACAGTTAACAGAGAGCTAACTAACTGGTGGTTCTTACTTCTCATGTCCCAAGATTTCTGTCCTGACCAAGCTGTTGAGTTCTTGGATTCTAATAGCATTTGGAGATAGAAGGGGGTTCATTACCTCAGCTGGTTGGGTTTCATAAGAGGAGGGAACATGCAGGACCAGACATCCAACAGATGCCATGCTCCCAGTATTTGCAGTTGTTAACTGGCTGGTTAAGAGGAGGTAAGAAATATGTGGGTGGCTGTAGCTTTCGTGGCCATAGCCCATTCATGGTTCTCAGCCAATTTTTATTTGCCATAACACCGTATTATATCTGGATCAGACCATCTACAAATTTTTTTTTTTTTATCTTTGCGACAATTTTGAAAGGCAGGTTGTATTTTTCCTAATTTCAGATGGAGTAGAAAGCATGAGTGATTTGCTCAAGGTTACTGCTAAAAATTACAGATCTGATCTAGAATATATGTGTTCTGACTCATGACTCCAGTGGATGGAACACTCCTTCGCATGGTTAAGAGCCTCTGGTGTATTTCAGCAAGCCAGCGTTCCGGGGAGGTGGAGCATGCCTGTGAGATCTGACAGAGCAAAAGTCTAAGTGGCTTTAAGCCAGATCTTGCCTGGGTTTCCTAGTTTGGCAACCTGTGGGATTCCTGTTGCTCTTATCTGGGGGTGAAGTGGTACCTCCTTGCAGTGAGTCACTCTGTGTGCATTTGAACAAGAAGACAGATAGTATCTTGTACTCTTGAAGCACTTTCCCTTTTTCCTAGCGTGGCATTCTAGGGATGAGATGATCTTGGTAATCTGATGACATATCTGGCTCATAAATAAATAGGGTTTTTTTTTTTTCCATGAAAACTTTATGGCTTCTTTAATTTTTCACACCTGACATCCCTGGCATTGGATCTTAACTCGAGACAGAATTGTCCCATTGCAAAATGTATGTCTTAGTCAAAGAATTCCATGAAGGAAGTCTGTGGGATTCTTCAGTCAGTTGTTTGGTGATCCCTATGATAGTCACCATCTTTCTGGTTACAGAATCAAGAGTGTAAAGATTTCACATATTGCCCTGAACCTCAGTTTTCTCAAGTTAAAATGACCAGATAGGTCCAGAGGATTTCCAATATTTCTTCAAGCTTCATCAGTCTCTGATCTGGAGCCTGTTGTCATAATCAGAAGTTTTTCTGGAATGGAAAAATACCAGATTTTAGTTGTTTTAAGGTAAGACCCAAGAGAATAGAAACAATGACTATCTTATGCCTTCCTTAAAGTTGAAGGCCCTGAGGGAATGCCCTGGGTGTTTCTTGGTGAAGAGTGGAAAGTGAGTGATGGGGTAGAGAGATGGAGTTGTTTTCCGTTTAGAGTAGGAGGCACCTAAGAGGAGGAGGAGTTACGTCTGTGGAGGAGGCAGGAGACAGAGTCAGAAGAGACTGGCCAAAATAAGCCAGCTGGGAGGCTTACTATATAATGAGAACATAAAAGGGTAGAAACTGCAAATTGAAGGTAAGGCACAGAAGGAGGATTATCAACAAGGGAAAAAAACATCAATTAGGAAGAAACAAGAGTTTGGGAGATGGTGCATAAGAAATTTAAATCTATTTTAACTGTGGGGAGTTTGGACTTAGATTGCATTATGTTGGGGATTTTAAGTGTGGGAAGGTTAAAAGTAAACCTGTTGGCTTCGGCATGTGGTATAGATCAGGCAGAAAGCCCTGCTGGGTCACCAGTGCTCCCATTGGCAATGCTGAGGCGGAGTCTGGACTTAGGGACTGAGTGAGGGAAGAAATGGCTGTCAAGATGGCTGCCGCTCAGCATCCCAGGTCTCTGTGGCTCCACCCCGGATGGAGAGAACAAAATGGCCGATTCTGTACTGCCTCCACCCTGGGTGGTTGGCTCGATCATGATTTTGAATTTGTTGTTGGGGAAATTCAGCTGTCTGTTGTGGCAGAAGGAAGAGGCAAGAGAAGGAGTCCAGGGGATGGTTTGAGTTTCTTAAAACAAATCAAAGAGGACTACTCCATCTGATATGGATTATATGTTATTTTTGGAACAGCTCTGCCTGCTCTAAAAGGATCCTAAGAATTTCCTCCCATAATTTGAGGGGATGTCCTGGTCTCAGGCCCAAATTACAATTCAAAAAGCATTTGAGAATCGGGAATCTGGTTACTGAGTTCTCTGTGTTAGTGTTCGGGAGGCAGCAGGCGATGCTGAAAATAAATGGGAACAGAACTGGAAACCAGGAATCCTGACCTACTCCCATCTTCTCCACAGCCCTCATCCCCACCTTCTAGATAATTCTTGATCTTGTCGAGATCAGATACAATAATGATGTGGAAGTGTTTTGTCCTGTGTAAAGCACTATGTGTTCAACATGGCATATTATTATTATTAATCATTATATTTTCTTATAATTTTTATTCCTGTAGGGATTGGTTAGATTCTGTTAAGCCATGAAGGGAGAAGCCTTCTACCAGGCTAAGGCTGGTTTGGGTTCCAAAAGAATGAAGAAGCACATTTTTGGGGCATTTGCAGTTATATATATAAATGAACTAAGAAGTAGGCTGATTGAATTTCTTTGTGCTAGTTAACTCTGAATCTCTGGGGTCTCCTTTGCCAGCAGGAGCCACCCACAGGGTGTTTCTCCTTTACTCTTATTAGCTGATTTGTTTGTATAAAATGAAATAATGAATTTTTTCACCTCAATCGTTAAGCAAGAAGACCTGCTATAGACCATTAAGATTGGATTGCATTTGGAGAAAATGCATCATTACTTGTCTTAATGATGAAAAAGTATGTCATTTAAAAGGAATTAGTATTGGTGTGTCTCCCTGGAAACAAATATCACATAAAAATTCATATTTACATAATAAATAAATTAGGGGTGACTCTTTTTACAAAAAATAGAATACACCTTACCAATGGATTTATTTATTTATTTATTTATTATTTTTTAAGATTTTATTTATTTGACAGAGAGAACACAAGCAGAGGGAGAGAGGGAGAAGCAGGCTCCCCGCTGAGCAAGGAGCCCGATGCAGGACTACCAATGAATTTATAATAGGGTTCCTTTACATAGACATTCCCCCAATGCCTTTTCTAGCCTATTTCACATACCTTTTATTTTTTACAAAGAAAGCCACATCTGGATACTACAAACCAACGGTTGGATGTTTGGGCTCTTTAGAAACAATTTCTCCTACTGCTTGTGAAATTTCAGTAAAGCATATATCACTTTACCGAAAATACTACCCCCCCAAAAAAAAAACCTTCAAACTGCCTGTGTAATAAGGAATTCTGAAGTTCAACTCCACATTTGTTTATTTAGAGAAATATGTATTATACC